TCCATGCACACATAGCATTCTCAATGATAAGTCAAAACTCCATCAGCCCTGTAAACGACAGTAAGTAGATCGATAAAGCGGATTTGTGGTATTCGTGTCTTAATTTAGAATGGAATAATCAAAAGGACATTAAGACGGATCCACGAAATGGCGTTGGATCGTTGATATGAAGACCAAGATGTTGTGGCCTTCTGTTTGGTCGCAGTCAAGCGTTTGGTATACGACTACCTTGACCTCGTTTCCCCAACTAAGTTCGAACTACAGTAACGTGTCTAGTCCTGAGTGTTCTGCCATAGTAGATATGATAATTTCCAGCATTGGGCAGTTGAATTGGTGATGCAACAAATAAACGGTCTGGTGCAGAAAATTATGGCAGAAGACTTAATATTAGGTACGCTCCACAAGGTCTTCCTGTCGCTCCGACCAAGTTGCGAAAACGAGGTGAAACAAACATTATATAGCCAAATGAGATTGCAACCAACCGAAGGCCCACACTATCTTCGTCATCCTAACTACGATTTGATTATGTATGCTTGTTCTGACTAACCCCTGGCATGTGTAGCTCTAAAATCAAAAAAGCCTTTTTTTTAATTAATATATACTAAAGCAGTTATTTCTAGGAAGAAAATAAGATATTTTCAAGTATTTCGAATACCAATATCCAAAAAGAGTAAATACACTTATTCTCAATTGTTAAATTTTTATACAAGTTAGATATCAACGATTCCAAAAATTCATAAGCCAATATGATTATCCGGCCATTCGAATCTAGAAAAGACAAACTAATAGAAAAGTTAATTAATTGGGTAGAAAACTCCTCAAATCCTTTCAACCGATTCATTTTAAGATTAAACTCATTAATAGTTGGGAGCGACTCACAAAGGGCATTCCGATAAGACAAGAGTATAATAAAAACAAAAGTATCAGCAGTAGTAAAAATATCGTGTAAAATAGTTTAACAGATAAGGGAGGATCCAAAGCCTATAAAATCAGATTTAAGAATGCATTTAGAGTCTTAGAAAATATCGCATAGCTGAGAGCCAGTGAGATAGCAACTAAGTATGACTATGCGATCAATGTAACAGCGAAGCTAAGTATGGAGATTTTTTATATCAGCAAGCATATTAAACCGTAAAAGTTAGTATTTTCGCTCACAGGAGGCTGGCACCCTATACAAACAATTTTTTTAATGAATTTGCCAATGCCCTTGCTATACATCCTTATGACGAGATTAAGGGGAAATCAGTGCCTTTTATTGTCCCCCTAGGACTAAATCCTCGTCACACCGTTGGTCTGGTGTTGCAATTCGTCTCCGAATCCTTCCCCCTCTCTACACACTTATTCAGCCCTCTCAAATGTCAAAACAACCTCCATATTTGACTTATCCACACATTCGACTGATACCGACTTTACGATTTCACACAGTGAACACTAAGCCAAACAACTACCTTCACCACCCACCTATCCTGGCTCATACATACCTGTCGAATAACCGTCCACCAGATCCTGTTCCTTCACTAAAACATACTAAATCTTCCTACATCAATCAGGAGTCAGCCTTCGAATCCCGCAAAATATTTAATAGAAAGGACTCCTAGCTGAATCGAGGAACACCATCTTCGGGTAAGCACTATCTTCTGGTGGCACATATCCTTACTATGACAACAGGATACTGTTTCAACAGCATCTTGACACTCGTGGATCATGCCGACACTGCGCTCTAAAAACTCTTGTTGAATTTTCATGACACACCAGTCCCTTCCCATAAATGATCGCCATATCACACTTATTCTACGCAAACCTCAACTCTGCATGAAGCTTCTAAGTGTATCACTTTCTCGTATGTTGCTTCGCCGTACGCCGCTTCTTCACGAATCTTCAATTCTTCATCATAGCAAAGTCGGTTTGGTAAAGTATGCAACAGATCTTCATCTTGGCCGGGTTTCTGTCCTTTTATTATATTGTATGCCCTTCAAAACATCTACATTCACATTAATTTATTCTGAATTTTACAGACTCTTCAATAAATTTCTTTACTTTTTGTCTTTTTTCTTTTGTCCCAAGTCCCCTAGACCCTCATTTAATATTTCAGATAACACCAAAGTCATTTTTTTAGTAGGATTAAAGATAATAATTCTTGTACATCACTTAAAAATGGAATTCATGCCGAGTAAACGTCACTTACTTCCACGAACAAGCGACCCGAGCATCAAAGATTTGTTGAACAAAGTGTAAAAAGACTATTCAGAGAAATTAAAATTTTCCATTGCCGTATGCGTATGTTAAATTCAACTTACCCCTTAGCTGGATAACCTTGTCTAGATTTTTTTGTAAGCAGCCATTCGCTGGGACTTGAGTTCACAAGTGCCGATGTCCCCTGGACTTTTCTCCAGCATCCACCAGCTCCGATACGAGATTTCCCAAATGTAACTTGTTGTCTTCCACTGCCTTCATCAATGCGATCATGCTCTTGCTTCCCGTCGTCTTCTTCTTCCTCTCCTACCCGATAAGTGACAGGACCAGGAAGGGCCGCCGGAAGATCTGAGAGTGGAATGCCACTATAATGGGAGCTGGTTAGCATCTCAGGCTGCGAATGAATTCGTCGATGACGTTGGTGGCTGGGGCGGACCGAAGGACACACTGAACCGCCTGATAGTACCGATGAAGAGAATTTAGCGCCTGAGGACACTAGAGAGGAGCCCACAATGTTTACGTTTGCTTGGCATATAGATCCAGAGGTTCGAGGCTGCAGGGCTAATCGGGAAGGTCCAGCTAGAGGATGAAAATCCATTCGATCCCCTTCACCAGATGACCGCGCAATTAAGGAAGCGCCGGTAACTCTATTAAGAAGACAAATTAGAATAGAGATTAATCATTTGAAGAACAAAAGGATAAGTAGAAATGGGGTATTTAAGGTGTGGCGGAAGACAAATATCAAAAGAAGTAAATGCGGAACTTTCATTTATTCTTTTTTAGAAAACTTTCGCCAACTAATAAATTTCAAATACTACGAAACAGACTAATTATGATAATAAATGCTAATATATGTGTTTAAGTGGTCCAAAAAATGGGTATTTATCTTTAGGATATAATTTCGCCTCTTTCAAATTTATTTATAAATCAAAAGAAATACTTTGTAAAAATAATAGAGAACACTAAGACTAATAAAATAAGTAATACTACTGTGTTCTGTACTTGAAAATGTTATAGCGGAATGAGTTTGCAGCCAAAAAGATGTAACATTTAAGCAAGACAGGCGTCGCTTATTTTGTAGCCATAAATGGAGCTTCAAAGAATATCTAAG